AGTGAGGACGGCGGCAAAATCGACCTCCGCGGCTCCCCGTCGATGGCGCTTACTCCCACCTCCGCTGGTGGAGTAAGAGCGTCGATTCGGGGATCGATTGTCGCGTCCCGACAAGACGCGATAATTTGATCTTCGAGAGATCGATTTTCTACCTGCCAATTCAGGCGGGTAGTGTAGACCTAGCCTGAGAATAGCTGTCTTCCTTTGCAGTTTAAGACTCCAGTTGAAAAGCCAGTTGCAACGGCACCAATTTACGGTAAAGAGTGGCAGATTAAAAGTAGGGTTCTAATTCAGGAATTGAATTCTGTTTACAGAGTGGATGTTTATGGGGATGTAGATAAGGGTTCACTTCTAACAAGCATTGAGGCCTTGCCCTGAATATTAACACCAGTAACAAGCCATTGGTATTGCTGCACCTTTACAAACCCCTAATGTAGACACGCAAAGCCACTGAAACAGGGATAAGATGCACCAATGCAAATTGCAGCTTACCCAGTCTACATGAGAGGTTTGAATGAGTGCAGTTATAGTGGAGAGTGACCACTGAATCGTGGAATCAGGGAAGATCACCATTGTAGCTGAGGCTTAAGGTTTTTAGTAGTCCTGTTTGAAAACTTGAAAAATATGACAGTAGACAGCAAAAGCTATTAGCTGATCTCTGTACAGTGAACTCTCTGAAATTGTGTTGGAGACCACAGCCCAAAGGACTAGTGCAGAACAGGCAGACTCCTTCAGAACTACGTTGCCCTGCTAGCATTAATTCCAGCCTAAAATGGGTTTTCTCTGCAATCAGAGTGTGAGGGGAAAAAAACTTTTTAAAATGAAGGATTAAATTCTGCCCACCATAGCAAAATCTGAGGATTTACACAGGTTTCTATACCATCTCTGTTGATAAAGGGTTTCTTAAGAGGCCGATCCACATCCCACTGAAGTCATGATGGAGGCTTTCCATTAACTTTACTGGGCGTTGGATCAGATCCTAAGAGAAGCTTTAACTTACCAAAACATAAAGCCCAAAACTCTTGTGAAATCCCTTTGATGTCGAAGTATCCCCCATAGATGTACATGCTGGAATTGTACACTACTGCGCTGTGGCCCTTTCTGTTAGCTGGAGCAGTGCTCTGAAAACATTTTAGTAATGGAATGAAAAATCACTTAAACAGACTTTGACATATAGACATCCTGGATTTATGTAGGTTTATCTCAGTACCACTTTCTGCCCCCAATTAAGAAAAGAAAATCTAGTGATATCTGGGTGAAAATCGTAGCCATTTTGATTTGGGTGATTCCATTTTCCGAATTGTATGAAATATGAATTTTTGTACAGAAACATGAAAGTTCAAATCTTCAGATGTGCTGATGTGAAAACTGATCCCATAGCCGAACAAAAAGTCAGCATTTACATTTTGAGGTTTTTATTCAAAAACAGAAGTGGGCTTTTTGTTTTTGTGTGTACTGATTCACTTTCATCCAAATAAGTCTCTAATTTAGACTGAAGAAATGAAAAAATTGCTAGATTTTTGTGAAAATAGTGAACATCAAACTTTGAGGTTTATGAATATCGTCAATATTTTTAAACAATCCTGGTTTTAAGAGAATAAGCCTCTTGTAAAGTGGCAACCCAGGCTTAATATTGGCCCTCTTGATTGAAGTGTTTTAAAAGAACAGTAGAGTTAATAACATTCAGCATTTACATCCTAGGATCAAAGTGTTTTGCAAAGGTATGTAGTATCCCAGTTTTTCAGAAGGGGGAAACCTCAGCTATTAAAATTGAAGGGAAAGAAAGCAGTGTACTTTACAGCAACATATCCCTGAGGAGTCTAGTCTGGAACTGTTTTGGGGAACCCATTTTAAAGCAATCAACATGCATTTGATTCACGCATTCCCTGGCTCCCCTTACCTCAATCTCCACTGCTGTGTGCCTGCACTCAGTCCATCTCGCTGAATCTAAAAGGATTTTAACAAAATGTAGTTTATATCTAAGAACACAAGAGGACACTGTTTCTTTAAAAAAAAAATCTGAATAGCAATTTAAAAGTGGCATCCTGGTGTATTTACCATATAGCAAGGTTGAAACACATAACACTAACATAGCAGTATCGTGAGCTACCAAAGGGCATATTGTAATTGCCTTTATCTTAGTTGTCTTTTCATACTCTGAGCTAAGAAAATATTAGACTGTATTATAGACTTCCTACTTGGGTGACCAGATGTCCCAATTTTATAGGGACGGTCTTTTTTTGGGGTCTTTTTCGTGTATAGGCTCCTATTACCTCTCCCCCCTCCCCCCCCCCCCCGGGTCCCCAATTTTTCACATTTGCTGTCTGGTCACCCTACTTCCTATACCAAGGTTTCTCAATGTAAATATCACCATCACTATTCTGTATGTTATTCATTAAAAGTTTGTGTTTTCTGTTGGGGAATGCTCTTCTTTTGTAACATCGTAATGTAGTCTAGATGTTCAAAAGTTCCATTTACCTTGAGATCTTGGTAGTGAATATTTTTAATAAGGGGAATTTTAAAAAAGTCTATCTTTAACTGATACCCTATAGAGTCCAATTTTTACTGATGGGCAATTTAGTACTATGACGCAGGGAAGCCTATTTCATGTGATGCTTTACACTTTGATAGGCGTTTTCATCCGAGGATCTCAACATTCATTAATTCAGGTAGGTGAGTGAGTATTTCTACTTTTCATGATGGGAAACTGAGGCAGAGATAGGCAAGAACTTGCCTAAGATCACATAGTGAAATCAGAAGAGAGTAGTAGCAAGGGCGCTTCACTCCCAGTTTTCGCCTCTAGCCACTAGCCATACTGCCCCTCGTGGGAAAATATATATACTACGCTTATGTAATGTTACATTGAACTATTAATAGTAAATTATTTAACAGCATATAAAATTAAATACTGTAATATTTCCCAGGGAAAATATGTAAAATATTATTGGCTATAATATTAATGTCCCATTGCCTTTATTAGAGCTAAATCACTGATAATACAAACAAAAATTTGGTCTTTCAAGACAGGAAAAATTTTCAGAAATGCAGTTTTCATTTTTCCCTTTTCTTCATCTCAAGTAGTTTTCTACTTTATTTGACCTTTTTAGGGCATGTCTACACTTACCGGGGTTCGACGCTGCTGCGATCGATGCACCGGGGGTTGATTTAGCAGGTCTAGTGAATACCCGCTAAATCGACCACAGATCACTCTCCCGCCGACTCCAGTACTCCACCGGAACGAGAAGCATAAGGTAAGTTGACGGAAGAGCGTCTCCTGTCGACACAGCGCAGTGTAGACACCACCATAAGCTGACCTAAGCTATATCGACTCCAGCTAAGTTATTCACGTAGGTGGAGTTGCGTAACTTAGGTCGACTTACCCCCGTAGTGTAGACAAGGCCCTGGTGCCAGCCCTTCTAAGTGTTTCTCAGAATGCAAAATATGTTACTATTTTTCTCCCATAATAGACAAAAACTTGTGTTTTCTTTACCATTGGACGTAACTGAGAAAAAAAAATCCCCTCATCTCTAAGCCTGCTATTTCACTGCTAAAGAACTTTTTAAAGATCAGCTTATAAAATTCTAAAAGTCAGGAGTCTAATGAAAACGCTGAAAACCTGGAGTACAGAAATGTTGCTACAAAATATTTCCCAGTGGAAAGGAAAATTGATTGTTTGGCAGTTTCACAGCCTAATTTTTAAGACAAAATTCTATCTGTGGTTTTGTGTGTAAAACTCCCAATGAAGCCAAAGGGAAATGTGAGCATGTGTACGTACACGTACATCAGAGAACACAACTGGGCCCTTACTATTTATTACCCTCTGTGGAATTACTGTATATTTGAGCAAGCCTGTTTTGTTGCCTCTTGGAAGAAAACTGGTTATCTTGTTCCATACCAATGTCATACATCCAGAGAGGGATCTTCGCCTGTGTAAAAGCAGAATCCAACATCCCACCGAAAATATAGAGGATGCCCTGCAAGCACAATGATATTCGTGCATCACCCAGAGGCGGCCAAGTGCAGTACAAAAATCTAAAAATAATTTTAAAAGGACAAAGCCCCCATCACCAAATAAAGAACCCCAAAATGCACAGCCACCAGTGAACAGGAGTGCGACTAAGCAATTTTTTTTATTATTTGAGTGCTGTATAAGGATAGCAAAAAAAATCATCCAGTGATACAGTTAGTGATAATATAGTAATTCTTATTTATCTCCTTTATCAAAACATTTTACAAACGACATACAGATATCACCACTGAAATGCAACCACATCTGTGGGGGAAGGTGACAACTATTTCACAGGGCACAGCAACACTCAACAGTTTGTGCCACATTAGGAGCAGGACTAATTTAAACTCACCTGATAAGCCACCATTGAATGTTCTTCCAGTTCTTCTGGGCCATCTTCTGAACAATCCAGTTTTTCCCATTTGTTGCTTGCTAGGAAACAAAAGGGGAGCTAAAATGGATACACACAAACCACATGGAAGTCAGCAGTAGGGTGAAAATGATATGCTTTGAAGGAGGCATCTTTGGTTCTGCCTGCACTTCCAAAATGAGCCAAGATTGATATTGGGATCAAGCACAGTTTTCCCCTTGACTGGTGTGGGAAGGTGAAAATGTAAACAACTTTAACTGGATTGATCATTCTCCATTTTTTTTTCTATTAGCATGGAAGGTTGAATTAATTCTTCCCACAAAATAGGTTTGTACTTTTCTATTTGGCAAACAATTTTCTCTCTCTCTTGGTTTGAACAGAGTTAAAATTGTTACTGTTTTTTATATATTGTACAAAGCCAATATATTTTTTATATATTGTACAACAAAGCCTTGGTACCCCACAAGCATCAATTTCAGCATAACATTGGGATTCATGCTAGTTAACTGATACTATCTGGGTCAGAATGGGGAGCCCAAAACACTGAGGTGTTAAATGAACTTCACAAAAAAAGTGTTTGTTTTAATTTCTTTGTAATGGAAGTTGCAAATTTGATAATTCAGCCTTACAATATCCAGCTATTTCTGTTTCTGTACTAAAACGTTGCAGTCATTGTCTGTATTTTTAATATGTAACTTGAATCAGAGTATTTTAAGGAAAGCATTATTTTTGGCTTAAAATAACTCAGGGAAAACAAATGCCATGCTTCGGTGTGTAATGACAACAGGAACATATGTCCACCGCATTGCATAATTATCTAGGTGCATTATGGGCTTTTCACCTACGCCACAACCATTCAGCGCTGGCACTTGCAAGAAGCAGAATACCAGCTTCGATGGATCAATATGGCAAATCCTGCCATTCCCAAACTGTGGAATGTGAACTTGATATTCCATCTATTCACTTTACAATTTAAGAAGGTAGCAGATGAACCATTAAAGTTTGGGAGCCGGTGGCCTAGAGACTGCTCATGCCATGGAGTGGCTCCGATTTCACAAGGATCCATGTGTGACTGCATCCAGTCATACAGTGGAGGGACAGGCTTACCTATATTGTACCGCCAGAAGTCACTTAGGCTGCTGTTGCACCGACCCCCGTAAAGATAAACAAATCCTCTGCAGATGCTGCAGGCATGTTTGAACCGATCGCATGGAAAAGGCTTGCTCTGTGGTACAGGTTTCCATAGGCACATTGCGGTGTTCCTTTTCATCCCTACATCTGGGTTCTTGCCAAATCCATTGCCTTCTGTAAAGGGCAGCAGTACTAGGGAGATCCTCCCAAAAAGTCAGGGACCCAATCTCATCTTGGTAGGGTCTGCGAATGAGAGTGAGGGAGAATTGAAAATAGTGTCAGAACTTTGATGCAGCCCTATGATACAAAATGTTCTTGATTTCTTCCTATCCCACCAAAACTTATACCATTTAAATTATGTCAGTCAATGAACTCCACAGCAACATCACTTCTTTGGTCAATTGGGATAACACACTGATTATAATACATTTGGACTTCAGTAAAGCATTTGATACATTGACTCACAAAATCTTCCTTTCCTAACCCAGCGTTTTTCAAAGTTCGGGTCATGACCCAGGACTGGATCGCGGCATGTAAGGCACTGGGTCGCCTTGCTCAGCACCCAGGGACCTTAGCGGCTCTGGTCAGCACTACTGACTAGGACATTAAAAGTCCCGTCGGTGGTGCTGCCCACCTAAGGCAGGCTAGTGCCTACCCGTTCCGACACAGCACTGCGCCCCAGAAGCGGCCAGCAGTGGGTCCAGCTTCCAGGCAGGGGGACAACAGGGCTCCATGCGTTGCCCCTGTCCCGAGCACCAGCTCCACATTCCCATTGGCTGGGAACTGGCCAATGGGAGCTGGGGGGGGGGAGGGGGTGCCGCCTGTGGGTGAGAGACACGCGGAGCCACTTGCACGCTTCGGCCTAGGAGCCGGACCTGCTGCAGCTGCTTCTGGGGCACAGTGCGGTCTACGGTGCCAGGAGAGGCAGGAAGCCTGCCTTAGCACCCTGGCTGCGCCGCTGCCCGGGAGCCACCAGAGGTAAGTCCGTGCCTCAATCCCCTGCCCCAGCCCTGAGCCCCCCCCCACCCGAAGCCCCTTCCTGCACCCTAAATCCTCATTCTCGGCCCCATCCCAGAGCCCTGACCCCCTCCCGCACCTCAACCCCCTGCCCCAGCCCAGAGCCCCCTCCCTCACCCTGAATCCCTCATTCCCTGCAGCCCGCACCCCAAATCCCTGTGCCCCAGTCCACAGCCCCCCCCCCGCACCCCAAATCCCTGTGCCCCAGCTCTGTTGGGTTGCAGGCATCAACAATTTTCTTCAACTGGGTCCCCAGAAAAAAAGTTTGAAAACCACTGTTTGAATTTAAGACTTCTGTGAATTGAAAAGTGGTTGAAAGATTGCAAATAAAGGGCAGTAACAGACAATTGGCTTAGTCTGGGAAAGGTTACAGAAATAAAACCATAGGGACTGTGGCTAGGTCTGTTTTACATCCTCTTGTAATCTGTGTCTGATACCAAATTGGAAGGATAAAATATAGAGATGAAAGTGGGGCACAAGAAGTAACCCAGACTGAATTTAGACTGCCACACTCAAAGGCATCTGGACTCAGGGTAGACCTGGAGAAAACAAAATAATACTTTAACCTAATTTGCCACAAGATGTCACTGTATTCGGTGCAAAAACAGCAACAGCAAGAGCATTCATCTACCATTTTTTTAAAGATTTAACTTGTTGGGGCATGGCTAATGCTTAAGGCTGCTTATTTTATGGTAGCACAGATCATTTTAATAGTGGCAGCCGTTCAGTTTAAAAGACACACCGTTGTGAAACTGATTGTGCCACTCTTGGTGTTGGCCAGAGTCCAGAATGACAAGAATTGAGAAAGAGGCTAAAGGTGGAAATCTAAGGTTACAGATTACAGACTAGCAGGCAAAGCACAGTTGAAAACATCAGTCAGTAGTCAGAGGTGTGCATGTAAACTAAATAGCTAGTGCTCTAGGGAGCCATCTGACCTGCAGGACTAAGTGAAATCTACTCATGGGGCATCTGCTTTGACTATAATAATTACAAAGCAAAAAAGACGACGTGTTATCACTCTCTTCAGTGACTGAGGATCTGGAAATATCCTTAAGCTAACTAGATGAATGGGTCTGAAACCCTTCCTTTGCCAAGATAAACATGCCAAGCCAAAACCAAACAAAAACCCCACTCATGTGCAAAAGTTTGCCCTTACCTTTACATTAAATCTATGTGGAAAGGAAAGGATTATGGAAGAGGCGAGCTGCCACTACGGAAAAAGAAAAATCTTTGGGAAGAATAAGTCAGTGGTTAATAAGATTGCTCTCCTTGTTAAGTGTTGTAGGGAGGAGATGTCTGCTTGGTTGAGAGTTAAAGACAGCAGAATCCATGGCTAAAGCAGGTAGGGGCCTGGTGAAGCTCATTTATGTGGATAATTTTGGGACTTTTAACTACTGCTATGTTGTGGATATTCTTGGATTTATCACTTCACACTTTGAGGAACTGAATGTGTGTTGTGATGCTGTAAATAACCTGGGGTTTTAAAATTGCTCTGTCAGTTCTCTTTTATACTACTGCTTCTGTGGACACAGGGGTATTCTGTACTCTCCTGTAGACAGGAAGATGCTAGCTGTATTTCTGATCACTTCTGCTCCTGAAAATGATCATGGCAGGGTTTAAAAAACAAAAAGGTATAAAAACAGTGGTGTTTTGCTAAAGGACAGCTCTCATTAATAGTACATGCTGCTAATCTCACTTCCTCCTTATAGTCTTAAGGGACTGTGGCTACACTTCACTTCCTGTCCACTATTACAGTACACTGTTACTGTGTGCTGTGAAACAGTTGCTGCATCTTAGTGGTGAGAGAGGCTATTCCCGTGTACAGTATATGAAGCACTTTGGCATCCCAGTGGATCAGAGGTGCAATTTAAATCTGAATGCGGTTTGCATATAAAGCAATTACATCATCTGAGTCTGTAGCCAGAAAGCTCCATTGCCTCTGTTGCTGCTCACAGCTTTCCTGAGCGGCAGCAAAGTGAAATTAACGAGAGTGGAAACTTTCAATGGAACTTTCATAACTCTGTGCCCAGTAGTGAAACTGTCACTAACCCTGTCAGTTTCATGCTTGGCAGCAAACAGTAGTAAAAGCAGGTACTGGAATTGCATATCTACTTCTAGCTTAGTGATTTAGTTCTCTAGCTATGGGGTTCTCGCAAAAGAAATTTTGATGGCCTCAGAGTACAGCTAGCACTCTGACAATTTATCCTAAAATACTTAATTAACTTTAGGAAAAACAAACAAATATGCAAGTATACAGGTCCAAATCATTGCAATTCATTTACATAGTGTTTTTTGCGGCCTCAATAGTAAAAATAATGCACAGTTGTCTCTGTTCTTTACTGGACCTAAACAGAATAGCAGCACAAATAAGGTGCTTTGCACATCCTTCTTTTGTTGTTGTGGTTTCTTTTCTTTTTTTAAGACTTGCTAGCTAGTAAGTCTGCTGTTGTGGAAAGTGATACTTGTCTATTAATATAACTTTTCACAGCCTCCCAGCTAGCTACTAACTCTGCTGTGAAAAGTGATATTAACCAGCATACAAATATCAGATTTTCACAGTAGATTTGTTCAGCCCCAGCAAGCCAGGGGACAAATTAAGCCCTGGGTAGGGAGGAGGGGGGACCAGGGACTGTGTGTGTGTGTGTGTGTGTGTGTGTGTGTGTGTAGTCAGGGGAGGCAGCTGGGGCTAGGGGCAATGGGGGGGAAGAGGCAGTGGAGCCCAGGGTCGAAGCCACAGCCCAAGGCTGGAGGAGGCAGCGGGAGCCAGGGGTGATGGGGAGGAGTGGTGAGCCTGGGGACAGAGCCCACTGCCATGCGGTGGAGCCTGCCCCTCATCACCCCAGGGCTGAAGCCTGCCCCTGGAAAGTGGGGAACTCACTGGGTGGCTGCTCCTCTGGTGTTTGTCTCCAAAGGGGAGCAGGGCCCAACCGCTGCTGGCAGCCCCAGGGGAGAGTCCACTATTTTGTCTTCTCTCCTCCCACCCCCAAATCACTGCTCAGCAGGATGTGGCCACAAAAAAAGCCCCTGATGGCCACAGAAACACTGCTCTAGCTACTAGGTGCTTAGTACGTTTTTCAAACCTGCTTAGTAAGTTTTTGAGGCTCACTCAAGCTATACAGCTGTAGTAGTACCATTCAAGATCATTTTGGCAATAGGACTTATTCTTTATATCTTCCTGTTTGCAGAACTAACAGAGGCATCCAGTATTGCTTCACGGGCAATATAATCAAACAGGCTCATGTGTTATTCGCTACAATTCTACTAGAGGCTTCACGGAAATCCCATAAGAAGCAGCACCATAACAAGCGAAGTGAAAATAACGGGTAAGTTCGGGAAAATATTTTTTAAATGGCAAAGGACAAACCATATTAAACTCCTCTTTCCATCAGAGCAGTGATAAAGCTGGCAATGCATTTATCCAAATTACCTCACATTGCAAGAGTTTCTTCTTTAGATTTATTTCTCTCCTAAACTTGGGATGAGCCATCTCTTGAAGTGGAATGAGGCTTGTGAGGATCTGTTCCAAAAAAAATATTTTGCGCCATTGAACAAGGTATCTTCTCTTAATATCAGCTTTCTGTTCAACTATTATCATATAACGACATGAAGTTTCATCCATGCAGGTGAGGTCACAAGGACACAATGTAAGTGGCAACACATTGTTACACACAATTGTCTTTGATTAGAAGCCACTTTCCGGAATAGGATTTGATAAACTGAGCTTGCTCTGAGCCAAGATGGCACTTTGCAAACACAGTGATTAGATTCTAAAGGGCCAGTTTCTCAGACCTACATTTAGGTATTTCTATCGTGCTCATCCACATAGTATAACATAGGTGCCTGATAGTTAGCCATACTTAAGTCAATGAGGCTCTGCCCAGGCACACAGGTCTGCTCCCATAGCTGTGATTACAGGACCAGTGCCATACAGTGACACAGAAACTACAAAAGAACTTGGACCTCTGTCAAGTTGCCGTTTGTTCCTATGTTGTTATAAAAGGAAAACTGATGCTGCACTAGATTCAAGGATTAATGAACTCTTTAATACACAAGAAAATCCTGATTACAGAAGGATCCTGTAAGACTGGCTCTCTATGTTCGTAAACACGCTGGCTGAGTAATAGCAGTCAGGAATGATCCAATTGCATAATCCTTTGTTTGTTCTTACAACCTCCTATAATCAACCTACCCTCTTTGTTTTCCCCTCTGAAATGCTACAGAATATCTTAGATTTCACTACCATGTTGGAACCCAAGCTCTTGTTTAGTAGCGTTCTAAGTATTCAATCACTATATGCCAGCCTCCCTCATTCAGAGAGGGTCTCACACACAAGGAACAGTACAACCAGACTTTTTCAAACATTGGGTCCCCTATTCATTTCCAAAACCCATTAAAAATGGCTGTCCTGGTTTTAAAAAACCTCCATGGATTTATTCCAGGAAACCTCGTGGCCCTTATTTGTCTTTTCTTCTTTCTGCTCCTTCCCTCTACTCATTAAGCACTACCTTCTTCTTTGCCCCTTCAAACAATCTCTACGCTGTTAGTGCAATAGCTTCATTCTCTGCAGCTCCTGTCACCACCTTCCTATATCTCTTCAACTCACATCAACCGTCCATCTTGCCTTACATTTCATATTTTAAAAAAAAAAGTTTCCTCCTTTGCCTATACCTCAATCTCTCTCTTCCTCTGCTGTTACTGATCTCTCTTCATACCTTCATTAGTTACACATGTAAAATAGTTCAGGATACAGTTTGTAACAAGTATGGTGCACAAAGTGAATCTATACAGCACAGCATAAGGCGTTACCAGGACTCTGGAGATCACAATAGCTCATGCTCAGATTATTGCCTACGTACTGTTTGGAATAAAAAAAATCATTTTTGATTTTTTGAATATTCTATTTGCAACAAATATTCTATTTGCAACAAAAACCAGCAGTGTAATGTAGGGGCCTGAACTACTATACTAGTGAGCATAGTGCTGCCTATTAAAGAACACCACTGCAGTCCATGGGACTAAACTCACCAGTACTGTAAATGCAATTTTGATAGCTAGTGTTATTAGAATGTGCTAATCTGTTTTATACAAAGTAAGCTGAATTTTATAGCTACATTGCAATCTCGTTTCCTTATTAATATTTTTAAACACTCCTCGAACACAAAGTTTAAGGACGCTGCTTAAGAATGAGTGTGTCTTTTCTTTCTAGCAAGGCCACACCAGCAGGTTTCACTTTGAAGGACTAACCAACTCGATGCTTGTTTAGAGTTCCTAATGTTTTATGGTGTAATGTGGCCTACTGGATAAAGCACTGAATTGGCACTCAGGAGACCTGAGTTCTATTCCTGGCTTCGCTATTGGCTTTTGGGTAAGTCCCTTCGCCTCTCTATGCATCAGTTCATGTGTCTTTAAAATGGGGACAGTTATACTTACCTATTTTGCAAATTGTTTTGAGATCTACTGATGAAAAATGCTATATGACAGCTACATTTCTTCCATATGTTAGTGCAAACATTCAGAAAGGAAGACATCCCGGTATCTATGTGGTCCATTATGGATCAAATCATCCTTGTCTTACTTGAGTCCTATTCTCGTCATTGGAACTACTTACGTCGTGAATAAAGTAAGGTTAAAAATGGAAAACTGGGGCTGAACTGAATTCATGCCTTCTACAATTTTGTTTCTTGTGCACTATTTCAGGGGTGCCCAACCTACAGCTTGCGGGCCGTATACAGCCCACCAGAGCATTTCATAAGGCCCGCAGCTTACTTCAATACAATATACTAGCCGTCGATTCATTAGCTTTTTGTTGTCACGTTTACATCATTGTAGTTTACACAAGGAAGTATCCAAAAATGTGATAAAGAATGGGTTTAATTAAAAAAATGTGTCACGTTTCATATAAGCGCACACCTGTAAATAACTCTGTTCGCAGCTCAGATATAGGCTAACCAGACCAATACTTCCTTAGTGATTGTTGCTATAAAAATTCAGGAAGACGCCTTTGGACATGAGCACATTAGCTATAGCCTATCCCAGATGCAATACGTTTGATGGGCGATGCGAAAATGCCTCCAACAAAAAACAGAACATGGACATTGAATGTTGTTTTTTTCAAGGTAAGTGGACCAATCAATTCATTTTTGTGCCCTATCAAGACAAATCAGTAGGTCTGATTTGTAAAGAAACAGCTGCAGTATGGAAGGAATATAACATCAAGTGACACTACGACATGAAACACAAGGAAAGTATGATGACTACAAAGGTGCACACTGAACTGCAAAGATCACGTCTTTGGGAAAAAAAGAAGTTGGAAGTTTACAGCAAATGCTAAGAAGAAAATGCAGCAGTAGTGAAGGCAAGCTACTGTTACGTATTTACTAAGTGTAAATCTTTTTCTGACAGGGAGTTCATAAAAAAGTGTATGAATGTGGTTATGGAGGAAATGTGTCCTGACAAAAGGGAACTTATGGAAGCAGTAAGTCCGTCTCGCCAGATCATTACTTGAAGATGATGATGTTGGTGCAGATTTAAAAGAACAGCTCTGCGATTTTGAGATTTTTTTTCAGTGGCTTTGCATGAAAGCAATGACATTGCTGACCGTGCTTAGCTGCTAATTTTCATTCATGGAATAGACGAGGCATTTCAAATCACTGAGGAGCTTGCAGCACTCCAGACACTTCATGGGAAAACTACAGGTGAAGACTTGTTTTGGAGATTTGCCAACACTATTAGGGAACTCGGTCTGTCTTGGAATCAACATGGTAGACCACAAGACTGGACTGACTGGGCTGGTGCATAAGGAGATTGATTTGTGCAATGCTGAAAGGCCAATGGCGTTGCATGGTATTAATCACCAACCTGCTCTGTGAGGGAAAGTTCTAAACTTGGAAAATGTAATGAAAACTGTGGTGGCCACTGTCAACTTGATCAGGGCACATAGGTTGAATCACCACTCTTTTCAAGCATTCCTGAAGGAAATTGATTCAGAATAATGAGGTATGTTGGCTTAGTCACAGAAATGTGCTCAAACATTTCTTCGCCTTGCAGAATTAAATCAATATGTTCATGAATGAAAAGTGTAAAAATGTACCTAAACACTCAGATCCAATGTGGTTGTAGGGATTTGGCAGTTCTAACAGATTTAACACACCATTTGACCTAGCTC